TATTGGATCTAAGTTTATGCAGCAGAGACATTGCGGAATCTATATGGAATTGGCAAGTGTCAGACAAAGTGTCCCTCTCTGCCCATCAACATATTAGGTTTGAAATTCCCTGCAACCGAACAGTAAAAAAAGTGTACTGGCCTAAGAAAGACAATTGGTATAGGTACAGGGATTTAGTGTGTTTCGTAAAGTTTTTTCTAGCAAGGCCTATACCTTGTGATCAAAAACAAACTTTAATTTTTAATTTTTGAATTCCCACGCTTATCCAATCGGTAAATTTTTTTTATTTTCACGCTGACAACACTATTATACACATTCTGTCAAAGTTTAACGCATATCGTACAATTAGTTTTTGTTTGGCGTCTATACAAAGAAGGACCAAAAATTAGAACAACGTGCGTGGATCAAATTTTGTGTTGCAAATGGATTCAAGTGCGCCGAAACGTTAAAAATGTTAAAAAAGGCCTTTGATGATTTGTGTGTGTCACAACCGCGAGTATACGAATGATTTAAAAGGTTTAAAGACAGTCGTAAAAGCTTGAACCATGATAAGATCCCTGGCCGCCCAACAACATCTGTTACTGAAGAAAACATTGAATCGACGAAGCAGATCGTGTTGGAAAATCGTTGTGAACCGATTAGAGAGATTTTACTGTTGTTGGGCATCTCATATGGATCGGTCGAACACATTTTAACTGATGTTTTAGGTTTGAAACGCGTCGCTTCGTTACACTCACTGACTACAACAAATCAATCAGACAGTTCAAATGGACTAGCTGACGTAGTCATTGTGATAGTATCGAGAAGTTGCCCGAAGCAGCTAGACTACACAAGGCTTTAAATAAGGTCAAATCAAACAAAGTAGGCCTTTTAAAAAACCCGATGACTCCTTCACCACTGGTCGTGAAGACACCCTCGAGTTTCCCTTGCAAACACACTTTCCTAGCTCCGTAACCGAAGTTTTTATCATATGCACGAAAGTCTCGACAATCAAAACTCGATCTGCAGACTAGTTCCTGGCATAGAGATCTGCGATAGGACAGATCGCATGAACATGGATCGTCGTTTCGATATTAAATTTAAAGTCCTCATTCCCGATCGTCTGGACTGGGAAAATGGCATTCCTGGAGTAGAACCTAACACCAGAGTCTCGCTCGCGCTTCCAAGCAGATGTTCACGCCATTGAGGTTTGCGCTCGTATCAACAATAACAATGGGTTGAAAGACGTCCGTACCTATATTTACTCAGATAGTTCAGCGGCAATCAAAGCATTATCATCCTGGCAGTTTTTCTCAAAGCTTCTATTAGACTGCTATGATACGCTGCAGCAGCTGGCAAGCAAAAACAAAGTGTTGCATTACTGGTTGCCTAGTCACACAGGAATCAATGGTAATGATTCTGCCGACAGTCTTTCGAGGGTAGGATCTGCACCTTAAATCTATGGATCGGAACCTTATTGTGAATTAAGTTGGTCTACAACTAGGTCTCTGATTGAGAAATGGTTTTTAGCTAAGAGAAGTCGCTACTGGCGCGACAGTCGAAGTAACCGTCAGGCTAAAGAGCTGGTTCATCCTTACAATTATGGTAAGATATCCTTCTTCAGCAGAACAGAGTTGAGGTTGCTAGTGCGATATTTAACGGGTCACCATGGACTGCGTTATCACCTTAACAAAATGAGTCTGTCCGAAGATAGATTGTCCAGCCTTCATCTGGGCCGGGAGGAGGTTACTGGGTCCAGAACTACTCTCCCCTTTTGACATTATGAGGTCCTAAACAGCCGACATTGTGGTTTTCATTCGGAAGGCGAGAAATTGATTCGGTCAAAAAATACATAAAGTATAGAGCCCTGGAATTATTTTCGAAAACTGACAGGCTTACCAACACCGCGTTATCGAATCTCAGAATAGTTACAGGCTCCTCGGGGAGGTATACAGATCGCAGATCAATTATTGCTTAGTCTGATGAAGTGATAAACAATAATCCAGTCAGGGCGTAGAGAGGGGTTATGAAGAAACCTCGCAGTTAATAGAGAGTAAAAGTGCTCAAGTGCACTGACTCAACTAGCCTCAACATAATAATATGCAGTTTATTAATTATTGATTACCTTAAAAAAGAAAAAAGCATCAACAGAGAATATTGTATTAGATTAGCAACTTTTTATTCATATCAGAATATGAATGTTTTTGTTTTTTTTAATTTATTTACAACTTATTTTAGTTGTAAGGTAATTACATGAAAATTATTTTGAATTATGAATTGTGATTTAATGAAGTTGGTAGCAGTTTACACCTTCACTCATTCTTCTAGGTATCGAGCATATGATTCACACTAAAAAACTAAGCAATTCATAAATTTTTGATTGTAACATAACTGCCCTTTTTGGTTGAGGCATCACAGAACGGATATCGAGTAATTTTTTTTCTGTTGAGTTCTTGTAAGCAAAGCTAAAGTATTGTTGGCGTGACATTTTATTTTGCTAAGTAGTTTAGATGTACTTGGTGATAGTCTTAATAGATAGAACTCTATATTATAAAAATCAGAATATTTACTATTTACTTTTGGTGTAATACCAGAGTATTTTGACCTTCTCAATGGCGGATTTAGATGCCTTGCTAATAACAATATAATCATACAGCAAAAATGGATTGATGATTTACTTATATAAGAGCATTCTATTTTTCTGGTTTTACTTTTAAAGATAATTAAAACAGAATAAGTTTTTGCGTTATGATTGCCTTCTTTAATTTGATGTAGAGCTTTTAAAGATAAATCTATTAGATTTAACGAAAAAAATAAAGGAAGACTTCCTAATCTATTGCCTTTCTAATAAAATTTAATCGAAAGATCGTAACAATATTGTATATAATAATGACAACACTCTGAGATGATATTTATATATTATTTTTGTTTCTAAATATCAGTTTTTCAAGCAATTTATAAATAAATCGTAACTTTCTAATGCATTTTAATTATACATACATATGTATGTATAGTATATGTATCTTAAGCTTTTTATTTTAAACTGATTTCAAAAATGTATTTATGTTTAATTAATTAACTTTTGTTTAAATTTAATTGTTATTAAGTTAAAATAAATTATTTTCTTTGTATATTAATTTTTTTAACAATATTGACAAAAATCTGAAGCTTTTGGTAAAGTACAATTAGTAGAGCTTATTTTTACTAAATATTGACACTTGAGTATTAGAAATACATTAAAGTATCAACAAAACAAAAATAGTCGACAGAAAAAGAAACTCAATACCAAAATTGAAAAATTAAATTTAATCAAAAAACAAATGGTGACAACCAGAGAGAACTCTACAATTGACCAAGCCATATTTGAAATATATCTGGGAACAAATTTACATGTACCGGGTCATATACATATGTATCTACATAAAAGTATGAAATATCAACAAGCACTTCTTACACCGAGTCCAATTTATCATGCATGAGCATGATGAGAGAACAATACGAAATTCACTCCTGTATGAATGACGTCTACTTGACAGAGCGTAGGGTGTTTGTTATTGCTTTTGTATTTAAAACAACTGATTAATGACTTTATTTGCCTTTTCAGAGTTTTTATTCGCGCCAACAGTTAATCATATGCATATCTTTATACATATATACATATTATATATACAAAGATATACATATATATAATCTATAAAAAAGTGTATAAAAGTGTTTAAAAAAAGTGTTATAATTTTTTGAAAAAAAAAAGTTATTTATATTTAAAAGTGCTTTTAAACGACCTTGAGGCCTGTCTGTTTTTGACTAAAAGAAATGAATCGTAACTGCTATGAAATCAATATTCAGACTGATATCTACACTTAGAAAAATAAACGATTCTTATAATGTGAAGTATTGCAAGGTCTTTGGATTCGACCTAATATTGATAAGTTTCTGTCGACTGAATATGAAACCACTAACGAGTAGTTTCGCGTGGTTAGTGACTTAATGTGTTGGGAAATTTGTTAGTGGGTAAGATTCCTAACACTATCTATGTGAATATCTATATGTACAGATATGATATAAATATGTGAACATATAAATATGTATTTATAAGTTCATATATGTATATATATACATATATATAAAGTAGATAAGAAAAATTGATATTCAAAAAGTTTAAATAATTTGAACACTGCTTTATTAACTAGCATAGTGATTAGCCAGTAGGTACTATTAAACCTTCACCCTGTATATTAATTTGATATAAATTTGGTTACACGATTAACAAGTTGACATTGGAACAGACAAATAATGCTTATGTATTGACATTTCATAAGATCCTTGAATTCTTCTACTTCGGTACACACATCTTGGCAATGTAAATATATTATAGTTAGAAAATGAGAATCCCAAATGGGAAAGTTGTCTTCGAGGCGATTTTTAATACTGCGTCTGTATGTTGAAATTTGCAAAACAATTGCTCAAAACATGAATGTAAAAGACATTTTACTAATTTCTTCCAAAATGTCTTCAAAGACCGCCGAACATTTGAATCGATCGGTCTTTAGGCATGTATCCACGTCGAATATTACATTATATATTGCACTGATATCAGTTAGTAGCTATCTATTAACTACTTAAATAAACTTACAAGAAATGGAACAGCCATACAGTTCTGTCGAATAGACTATTACGTTATTACAGCTAATTATAAAGTAGGATATCTTTCTTGTCCACTATATATGCTTACTTCTTGAACGATATCATCGTAATAAGATAGGAGGAACTAAGATCTTTTATAGCATTCGTAAGTACGTTACCTTAGCTTTATATTAATCCAAAAACTTTTAACATCATCATTAATCAAGAACTCATTATCAAATGAAGACTGGCTTCTATTGGATTGAGTTTATACTTTTGGTGCAAAAATTTGGTTAAGCACAAGGAGTAAATGTGCTCCTTGTAATTGAAGTGTACAATTACAAAGAGTCATCTTACAGTTTTATTTTTGTTAATGTTATTGTCTACACCCTCAGAAATTATCGCAATAAAGTGACATGCGACATTATTTTCTTGCTAGTGTCCGTTTCCCCTACTGCGGCATAGGTCTGCAATATACAACATGAAATTTGTATAATTTAAGTAAAGTCAATTTAAAGAAAGTGTCTAATTTTTGATATATTCTTATATATGGTATTATTCTAAAAAAAACTATATTGACCATTGGTATAAAAACGGAAATCTATACAATATATGTATATACGTATATAAAGATTAAATATATTTTCACTCATTCACTGTTTAAAAGTAATTTCACACAGATTATATGTGATATATAGATTCAGTTCCTAGTGCAGAGAAGTAAGTCTTCTGGTAAGTTTTTTCTACATATAAAAAAATAATAAAAATAATATAAAAGTATAAAAATACTTTTAAATTTGTGTCTTAAATGATTTGAAACAAATAGAGTGAATATTGTTTGACCTTGCCCTATGATGTTTCCTAAAGAAAATAATACAGTGCAATGACAATGCAATGAATCGAAATTTACCGTTCTCAATAATCCACATTTTTTGTAATGACCTCATTTAAACGTGATTGATTATTTTCGTATAAATGCTAGGACTTGTCAGAGCCTGGTAACACTTAGTAATTTACATGTATAGCCTCATTTTTAGTAACATTTATCCATGACGAATTTTTTTAAGGTTGTCCAAGAAAGACTGTTGTACCAGAAAGCATTGATGAAGTGTAAGAAATGATTTAAATGGATCGGCATGTTACATAACGGAGGATAAAGGCGTTCTTGGGCATTCATGGGACCAGCATAAATTCAATTTTATATATATATTTAGCTGTTCGAAAGATTTGTTGGATTCACAATAATTTGGCAATTGCTTAAAAGAACGCACATCGAAATGCTGAAACTGCGACCGAAGTAGATCAAAACACGTCTACGATATCGTGACAGATAACGAATCATGGATCTAGGCTTATGAGCCTGAAACAGGACAGCAATCCATTGTTTGGATCTTCCAAGTGAGCAGAACCTGACAAAAGTTGTTTGCGAACGCAGTAAATCCAAATCGTCGAACTGATGGGTCATCCACTTTACAGTTTCGACCTGGCACCTAATGACTTCTTGTTCCCAAGAAAAAAATGTATGGCTAGCGTTGATCTCCATGGAGAATAAATTGAAAAACAATAAAACCATTTCCATTGCTTAACCACTGTGTTTTCATTGTTATGTGTAAGACTTAAAAGACAGCCCACGTATAATGATATGGCCAAAGAATCGAGAGTACAAAGAAGCCGAGAACTTAGCTTCACAAATATGGCATGATCAAAATGCACCACATGTGAAAAAAAATTCTGAATAGGATCAATATTGGCTTTGGGGGAATATAAGTGACGTCAAATCAGTACGTCAAGCTGCGGGGAACTGTGTTTCGCAGATGTGTTCGGACCATTATAAAAAAATCTATCGGTGGTGCCAGATATTTTTTATTAATTAAAGAAGACTATTCTCATTTTCATTTTGTTTATTTTTTGAAAAAGAAACCTGAAGCTCCAATTACCATTAAAAGTGCAAGCGGAGAAAGTTGATCAACAAAATAAAGAGCATGCGTATGGATAATGGTCTGGAAGTTTTTAATGAAAAATTGCTCAAAATATTTACACAATTTGGTGTACAGCATAAAAGGACGGTGCCGTACACTTTGCAGCAGAATGGCTATGCTGAGCGTGAGATGGGAACAGTAATGAAGTTCAAACACATAATAATTTATGCTAATGATATGGAAATAGAAATTTCGTGCGATATTCTCAAAGTTCAGTCATCCCTAAAATATAGTTCGCAAAATCATATCTTGGAACGAGAATCATTTCTTTATGTTTCTATATCCTAAAAGCACAATGCAGTAAAGATTATGAAACAATAGGTTTTAATTTTTTTTTTTGAACGATATTTGTACTTATATAAACGTTCTTGCTACCGGTAATTTTTATTTAAAATGAAACATTTTTTAAGTGTCCACAATCAATAGACGACAAATTGATGAACCATTAACAAGATAATTTATCAATATTTCCATTGTTTGTTTTATATAATATAGCATTTATATAGCATTGAAAAGCGCAAAGCCACAATCACCTGTAAGGAGCTCATTAGGTAAATTAGTTTGTTACTGGTTAACAGACACACTTAGTCCACATTGGTACGCACTACTGGCAAATTCTGGCTTTAAAATGATTTTCGCTTGTTGTTCATGCAAATTTATGAGGAATTCATGCTACTGCAAAGTAGTTGCATTGAAGCGCAGCATGAAGGTATGACCAATACAAGTTTATTGTACCATAAAGTGCATTATAGAAACAACCCGTCGCAATCTTAGCTGAGTACGACCAGCAAACGACGTTTCCTGCCTCATAAAATTAGCATGCCACAAACATAAAAAGCAAATATTTAGCGATTTTTATCGTAACACCTTTGTCAATTTGTTCAAATTCGCAATGAATCTAATTTTGTAACAGAAATTCAGCACGTCGTGTCAGTCGCGCATACGTGTACCATAAAAGCGTCGATTGTTTAAGAGCCATATGAATGGACACTGGTGACACCAGTTGACAAGCTAACACACCGCACTACGCTGCAGCAGCCGTTTAAGGAAATTGACGACTTCATGTCATTTTGCTTCAATTCATGTGAAATATCAAGTTTTCAATAAATGCAATTCTTGAAAGCAAGTCAATCAAGCTAAACCAAACCAAGTCAAACCAAACCCAGCTCGCAGCTAGTCTATGCGAGGCCCAGCCAACAGCCAACAGAGAGCAGCAGGTTTTCTACGAAAATCTGCAGACGCACCTGTTGAAAATCGGGTTTTTAGCAGTCAGCTTAGATATGAACTTAAGGTTTACAAAGACACAAAACTAAGAAATATTCTTTGCAATTGCAAATAGAAAAAGTTCCGCATTTATGCTAGTTCCACGGCTTTTAGTGCAACGTACACATAGTAATGGAGTGGAACGACACCGGTCACATCATCAATAGTAACGCGTCGGTGTCGTCACTGTGGCGTGTGTTACAAACACACTTAGTCGCATTAAATTTAACCAAATCGAATTACACACTGCCTACCAAACAAACGGCTTTAGTAACGTGCACAGCACCAAATGGCCACTCATTATTTGCAAGCCAACCGTAGAACCAAATTTGTTTATGGCCAACGATAGACCAATGCATAAGCCTCACTGACTGACTGGCTAAGTGGCTGGCAGACATGCTCAACTATTCGGCTATCTGTTGCTTATACGAATAAATGATTGTGTATCTTTATGCATTGGTATTGTCACGTTTCTATATGCGAACTCTTTTATGTATCCACATATTCAGCAAACTGCGTGCACAGTTGTACCGTTATGGTTTTGGAGTATCTGAATTCTGAACTGTTCATTACAGTCAATATTGTTTTACAGCTGCACTCTTTATGCACATCAACGCATTTGCTTAGCAATGCAACGTGCCTGACTGAGCCTGTTTTGTGTTTAAAAATCGCATAAAAACGACTGGATTTGACTGGATTTTGGTCTGTTCACATGTCTGTTCCTCCAACTCCATTTAACATCTTCAGGAAGAACTCATATATGTAACATTTTAAAGTTATAAGTCAAACTTTAACTTATTCTTTGCCGCTGTGTAAGTCTGGATGTAATCATGCCTTCCTTATTTAATCTTCTATAAAATAATTCAAATTTCATTTCGCCAATAATGGAATGCAGTTTTAAAGATTTTATTGATCACATAGGAAAGGAAAAACCATTTTAAGACATAAATTAATATTAATATCAATTATTTATTCCTTAAAACCAAACTAACAACAAGATTCTATAAAAAATGATCAAATTGATGATAAGTAATGTTCTCTAATTACAGCGATCTTTCTTTTTTAGCTCTTCCTAAATCTGGTCCAGTAATAAGTCGTATATTGATTTTAATAGTAACTATTTTCTCTGTCCCCACGGGGTTGTGTGAAAAAGTAATGATTTTCAAAATTATAAGCGCTATGTCTTTATTTTCATATTGACTCCTTTTTTGTGTATTGGTTGCACTGTTAGTAACGTATGTAATTTAGGCGAATAAGCAGCTTGTGATGCAAAATATTGAAACAGAGAGTTAAGTGCAGTAATGCATTCAAATTGTCAAAAAAGTATTTTGAAGTAGTTCTTGAATAGTGCAGTTTTCAGGAAAATTGAAAAGATTACACAAAGTATAGGTGTGTCAATACGTCCATCAATGATTAAAACATGTAAATAATCAAACAAATTGTGCTTACTAACAAAAAATTTTGCTATTAGAGAAAGAGAGGCTGCTTAATAATTTGTCATAAGGCTCATGTCATAAATGCGTGTCTTCCACATATTTTTTTGTGGTCTTCCACATGTTATCATCATATCGTTTTTTAACAGAAGATAAGATAAAAACTATATAAGGTTGAATAAGACCACTATGTGAGAAGTCACAATTTTTCTAAAAGTGCTTATAACCATCCATAGAATTATCGTAAACAAATTCCATAAAACTGGTTATAAAAAGAGGTTCAGTGTTTGGTTACCTCCTAAACTAACTGAAAAATATTTAATATGCCAAATATTTAACTGCGAATTGCTGTTCAAATGGAACTGATTTCTTTTATTTTTCAAGTATAAGCTGAATAAAGAATAATAGATCACAAACGCTAAGCGATCTTGACCTAAATAATAGAAGACTGATATTGAGCAATATGTTATCAAAATACGCTTAAAAAATTTCGAAATAAACTGACTCTATTTTTCGAAACGTCCGCTCAGAAAGTTACCATTGGTTATATGGTGCTATCTAATATGAATTAATCTGCAAAAACTCTGAAGGAGTTTTTAACAAATATGAATTAATCTGCAAAAACTCTGAAGGAGTTTTTAACAAATAACTATTGTTTGGATAAACTGGTCAGATATTGTGATGACGTTATTAGTTTGAATATAGATTATTTTAAAATTATACTTCATATTGTATTGTACTATGTAAAGTTATAGTTGTCGTTTTCTAAGAACATTAGAGCATAGTTGTTGACTATTAATAAAATCTATAATTTTCCTTCCAAGATACATGTGATGCCTACGTATATATGACATGAGTAACACTTAGGATTTTTTACTTACTTTGATGTTGCATGTGACTTTGATGTTGTTAAAAATATATTAATTACTAGTAGTGCTATACTCGCAATATTCCCAATCCCAATATTTCTTATTGATCCTTAATTTTTTTTTTGTATATTGCAACTTCCATTATAATTATTTTAGTCACCAATTAGTACACTGCAAAAAAAAAGAATTTTAGTGTTTATTATTTTATTTTACTAGAAATCATTATCATATATATATATATATCATTTTATTTTACTAGAAATCATTATCATATATATATATATTATATATAAAATATTTTCATAAAAAAAATTTCAATAAATATTTGGTGAAAATTAAGGTATGTATATATAGTACAACACTTATTTTAAATCCGATTAAAGATATTAAAATTTAAAAAAAAAAAAATTTTGATTGATATTAAATATTCGTGAATTTATTTTATTTTCATGTAAGTTTTAATTTATTTAATTATTCATCAAGTGTCTTTAGTTGTTCAAGAATGAATATAAGAGGGTCAATATTTATATTTTGAGCCTAATAATGAAAAAATATTAACTTGTCGTTGAAAACTGCTTTATTATTTCTCGAAATATTCTCCTTTATGATCGATACACTTTTGGATGCATATGCCAGATTATAATTTTAATATTAAAATATGTTTAATTCAATAATCATTATTGACAATTACTTATCACTATAAACAAACTATTATTTATCAAAATGTCAACATTTCTACTTTTTTTACTTACCTCCGGCATAATATTGATACTTATTATATATATCAGAATTTCTTTTGTTTCACAATAATTTATAAATTCATTTAAACACAGCTGATTTTAACAGCTGTCGTTAAAAAATCGATACAATTAGGTATCCTCACGAGTTGACGTACCTGGTTGTCCGTTTACTCAGTTATCGAACACGTTACTCATACTCGCGAATAACCCTATTATTTTATCCGCTTTGCACTATGTACCTGTTTTGCCAATCATTTTGATTGGGCGTATTAGCGACGTCTTACGCGAGGTGTCATAACGACCCATTATTGGTACATCTCAATGTGCAAGGCATCTCTAAACGAACAGACAACCCATAGTCAAGGAGATAAAGATAGGAAAAAGAAGACCTTTGTTTCATTTTGCGAGTAATTGATATAGTTACATCATCGAAAAAACACTGTACATGATATTATTAGACAATAAACTTTCAATTGTTTTTAATTAAATTCTTTAATTAAAAACAGAGTTGCATTTAAAATTACAGAAATGAAAATTTGAAAAATAGGCAGAAATTTCTGCCTATCTATTTACCTACCTCTTTATTTTTGCAAAAATTAATATTTTAGTTTTTATGATCATTGAATGAAGCATTTTAAATGCAGAAACACAATTTTCAAAACAAATCTAGAATATTTGTCAGATTTTGTGAAATGGCCCCCAAAACCCTGCAGGGTTAATGAATATATAAAATTACAAATATACATTTTATATTCATGGTACAACTATTCGAGCCAAAAATTCGCTAATTTCTCAAAATTTAAATCTAAATACAATCCGCAGACTAACGCAAGATAAGCTGAAGTGCATACTTCTGGAACACGTATAGCAATACAACCTGAACTATTAAAATGCCATATATTTTAACATACTTTTACATTTAATATTTAACGCATCAAGCAAGTTTCTCCATGAAAAATAGAACTAGCATCTTTAACAATATCATCCAGAACAACAAAGAAAACAAGAGAAACGGAGTTTATAAATTACACTAATTTTCATTTGACTTTCATTTTTAGATATTTATCCACTAAATTTATTTCTCTTATTTCTATTTATATAATACTTTATTACTCTTGCTAAAATTTTTGTTAAGCTTATAACCCTAATTATTATCTGTGTAGAGCCCTAAGCACTTTAGGAGTATTTGTAACAACTTAGCGCTTGCGTTTTCTGCATGGGTCCCTATTTAAAGGACTTCCGCATCTTCGGTAGAAGGACTAGATGACTAACGACATGAAGGCGCTTGGTACAACCAACTAGCGACAGCAAGTCACTGATCGGGCTGACTGGTGGAGAATACTGGATACAGCTTTAGTTAGCCACCACGTCTGTAATAGTCAACTATGTATATTAGTCTGTATTTGTAATATCTGACTTGTATGGAATGAATCAATACAACTAACTTAAAAATTCGTCAGAGAGTTATATTTTCATATTCAATAATTCATTATCATTATTAACAATATTAGTAATTTAAATAGTTTCTATTAAGGTAATAGTTTTTTTGTGATAATTAATTTTAAAATTTAAATTAAATTTTATATATTGATTAGTTTTGGTATATTGTTATAGTTCTAAAAAAATTTCAGTATTGTAGGTGTTGAAGTGTTGCTAGTACAATAAAATTAACTCTTGGGTTGCAATATTTCTAAAACCAAATCTTGCTATCATTATTTGAAGGACAACTGACGATGAGTATGAGTTTTCATTTTATTAAATATTTATTTATTAGGAAGTAAGGAGATAAATCGTTGGACTAACACAAAGAGAAGCACTAGCCACCAGAGTCACGTATTTCAATTTGTGAAAAGCTCTATAAACTGCGGATTCAAAAATATATACAGATGTACATATAAACACAATACTAATACAATTCATATTTATTTAATTTTTAATATCTTTATTTTGATTTCAGAGTTTTTAATGAAAAATTATATGTACAGAAGAAAAATCTTACTACAGTTTTTACTCTGAAAAACAGAATACTGTTAGCATATAAATTTTTCTTTAATCAAACTATAGCATAATATTAAAGAATTTATTCAATAGAGGCTTCATACGGTACAAACATGTACAACCTTGTCCCAAAACAACCTTTTTTAATAATTAAAGACACGCAACCGTTTACAAATGTTTCCATTTCAAAATAAAAATATATATTAAATCTACATATACCATATAGTCAGTACGTATCTGCACTCTAATATATGGTACGTATATATGCAACTTTGTGTAAGTGAAAAACTGTAATATGTAAGGCTGCCACCCAACTGGGACTGGCAACTTAACCAGTTTTATGTACCGAAAAAGGCAAACTCATGTAGTAACGAGACACAGTAGCGGATTGAGAAAAATCAATGCATCAGGAAAAAGTCAATGCATCAGATACTGAGATTTAATAATAAATCGCTTAGTTAATCAGTTATATAGACGACCTTTGATAAGGATAAGAAAATATTTAAAAGTGTTTCATGCCAGAGACTTATTAAGACGATATAAATACAAGAACTATATATAACTGTTTACAAATATACTAAATATTTATTTCTTTATTTTTTTCAATACTATATTAATTAATAATATGTATAGACGTGCAATAGAGCGCCACTGTTTTCAAAAGTGTTGCATATTGCCAGCAATTACCAGATTGCAAATATTGCACATGCGCACATTTGCCCGCCTATCTGCCTGTTGGAGTAACAGTCTGTCTGTTTGACTACCTATATATGCAAAATCTGTGCAGATATGTACGTGAATATCTGTATATAGAATCTTAACCTAAGTGTAATGCGTTCTGGAGCTTTGATTTTATGATGTTTTAGTTCAAACCATTCTGATTTGTTGTTTGGCAATTTCATTTGCATTTGCCCGGCAATAGAAGTGAAACTACGAAGTTAAATGTTGTTTAAGTGAAGCTTGAATGTTGTTGGTTGAATGCTAGTTGAATGCATTCAACTGAACTTGCTTTTCTTACGCATAACCATAAGCTCTGCACATGCTCAAATGACAATGCAGCACGACATACTCAACAGGCAGAACAGAATTTTTTTGCTGCCGACTGACTGTGTTGTTGACTGTGTTGTTGACTATGTTGCTACTGAAGCAACACAAACTACATTCGAGCTGCATTCGAGCTGCATTCGAGCTGCATTCAAACGAAACAAAAAATATTGGTTGCAGTAAATGTGTGGAAAAAGGTACGAGGTCGGTTGGTTTAATGACTTTGTTTAGAATTGATTTGCCTCTGTAGAGAAAAATTCTGTTATATTCGCAAATAAAGCGTTTTGGATCGCTTGACTTTACTGACACCTCAGTCATTTGGAACGAATATTAATTATAAAAAATGACAAGCAAATAGTAGAACAAATGCTTAACGAATGCATTTAAGAAGAGAAAAAATTATGTCTTTACGGGCTTTAAAATAATTGTCTTGCATGCAAATATTTCTAAATGTTAATGCTCTTTTCATTTATGTAAAATTTGATACACTTTGGTCCACCCTCGTACCTCGTACATACTGTAGCAAACTAGTCCGTATTTGACTCGCATCATTTACTGTTACTCTGCCTTCATATAATATATTTAAGGTGTTGCAGTTAACACTTCCCGCCTATTATCTATCTAAATCGGTTTCTAAAACGCGTTCTACTGAGTTGAGATAGTACAAACATATATGTATACATATACATACATATATGTTTGATTATTACAGGTGCCTACTACACTACTTTTTATTGATGTCCTCTACCTAACCCAGAAAAGAACACAATAGGCCCGACGGTCGCAGTGCCATTTTCCATATAAATTGTAATAATATAATAATCAGTGAATAAGTCGTACGATTGACACACAGATGACGCTGCCATTGTCAAATCTATATGACTTTTATGAAGTACCAACCTTCAAAAGACTATGTGTAAAATTTCATGACATTTCGATTAGTCAGGAAAAAATGACATCCGTTTAAGTGAAGCTACTTTAGTTATTTTCAAAACAATGGATTCAAAACAATTTCGTGTGTTAATTGATCATTGCTTCTTGATGAAAAGAAATACTGTACAAGCTCAGCAATGGCTTCAAAAGTGTTATCCGGACTCTGCTCCATCGAAAAAAAATAAAAGTGGTCGTACAGACACCAATGATGGTGAATGTTCTGGTCCATCAATTAAGGTATAATCTTAATTGATTATCGCGAAAAAGAAAAAATCAATAGTAACTCAATAGTAACAGTAACTATAATAATAGTAACTCAATAGTAACTACTACACGGCATTACTGGATCGTTCGAAAGCAGAAATTGTGAAAAACCGACCGCATATGGCGAAGAAAAAAATTTTGTTTCATCAAGGCAATGCACCATGTCAAAAGTCAATTAAAACAATGGCAAAATTGCACGAATTATACTTCGAACTGCTTCCTCATCCACCGTATAGTCCAGATCTGGCCCCCAGTGATTACTGGCTATTCGCTGATCTCAAAAAAATGCTCGCCGGTAAGAAATTCATCTCAAATGAAGAAGTAATTGCTGAAACTGAAGCCTATTTTGATGTAAAAGACAAATCCTTCTACAAGCACGGCATCGAGAAGTAAGAGAAGCGTTAGAAGGAGATTATTGTATCTCCTAGAAGAGAGAGAGATCTCCTTGAAGAGAGAGAGAGATCTCCTTGAAGAGAGAAAGATCTCCTTGAAGAGAGAAAGATCTCCTTGAAGAGAGAGAGAGAGATCTCCTTGAAGAGAGAAAGATCTCCTTGAAGAGAGAGAAAGATCTCCTTGAAGAGAGAGAGAGAGAGAGATCTCCTTGAAGAGAGAGATCCTTGACGCGAAAAAAATGTGTATAATTACTTTTGACAACTAATACGCATCAGTGCATCTCCTTCTATTTTTGTCAAATGAACAGTTATCTTTCCAATTCTTATTTTATTTGTTTTTGCATAGATAAAACTAAGTGAGAACAAAAATTTTTGCAACAACAACAACATAAATCTGTTTTAGTGCAATATGCACAACATATAGTGAAAGTCATCAGCATTGGCGCGCAAAAAAATCACTCCGTAACTTTCAGTGTTTTCTAAGCGAAAAACTTAAAAAGTGATATTGAACTCATCACAAATAATTGAGACAGTGACTCTTAAATAATATTAATAAAAAAATAATAGTGCCCGATAAAATAAAATATTATTATATTTATTTATTTTTGCGAAAAAAGTAAATTTTGATTTTGTTTTCGAATTTGTTTACTTTTTTCCAAATTCACACACACTTGAAAACAGCTGATAGAGACAGCAAACTAAGCTTAAAAGCTCAAAAACAAATTTACAAAAAAGTGTTGCAAACGGGTAGAATAGCTAAACAAATTACAAATCGCAAATTTGAAAAATTGTGTAATTGTGTAATTAAATAACAAACTTATGCTAAATAAATAAAATAAATAAATACGCGAAAGGACGCCTCAAAACAAAAAAAAAAATTTATTGTTTGATAAATTCTTAAGAAAAATTGAAATTTATATTTTATTATATTATAAATTTATATTATACTTATATTAATAATATATATTTATATTTTTTCTTTTTAAATACATACTATTTTTCTCGTGCCATTTAAAACAGAACTTTAAAGGTTTATAATTAAATAATTAAAAAGTAGAAGCTTCTTTTTCACAACAAATTACTCAGAGACAGTTGGCTGCTCAGCTAACTTCCACGATACCAACCACGATATGCCAATTAATAGATCACCGCCTTCGCATAGCGGAGGCACAAACCACTCACCCATATGCTACCCAACAGCAGATGGTAGTTCTGAGAAGCCAACTACGAACCAAACAACAATGCTAAACAACCTAACCCAAAGGCAACGCTCATACTCGGTAAGTGAAAATTCTTGCAAACAATCAAGCTACCAACCGCAAAGTCCAGCAACATCTTCGAAAAATAACACAGCATCAGCGCAACATGTTAACATATTGCCAAATATATTGCAAAAGAATAGTAACATAGCAAAAAATCCTGATTCACCCAAAGTCCGTGGCATGGATAAATATATTCAAATCATAAAAAGAAAACGTAGCCCGAAACAAGAAAATGCTAACAATGCAATCTCGACAAAAACTCGAAAAATAGAAAATATTTCGACAGCGAATCGTTTTGCCGTTCTAGCCGAAGACGATAAAAATACCAGACCCGCCCCTACCCAGAAACCGCCACCCATATTTCTGCGTGAAAAAAATTCAAACGCTCTTATATACTCCCTAACACAAAGTATTGGCAAAGATTCATTCCATGTTGTGCCTCTTCGTAAAGGAAATGTCGATGAAACAAAAATCTCGATCAACGAAGAAAAACATTACAGAACAGTTGTAAACAACTTCGAAAAAAATGGAAAAAATTTTTACACCTATCAATTAAAAAGTGCCAAAGGATTAACAGTAGTTATAAGAGGAATAGAACCAGATTTGAATACAGCAGAAATTAAAGAAGCACTTGAAGAAAAAGGATTTAAATCAAAATCTATATACAACATTAAAAACCGCGATAAAGTTTCGACACCACTTTATAAAATAGAGCTTGAACCTGAAGGAAAGAAACTCAAATCTAACGAGGCTCATCCAATTTATTCCCTACAATTCCTACTACACAGAAAAATATCAGTAGAAGAACCGCACAAGCGTAAAAACCCGGTGCAGTGTACTAATTGTCAGGAATATGGACATTCGAAGTCCTATTGCACACTTCGTAGTGTTTGTGTTGCATGTGGCGACTTTCACCGCACTAAGGATTGCACATCAAATAAGAAGGACCCAACAACAAAAAAATGCGGAAATTGTGGAGGCAACCACACCGCTAATTATAAAGGATGTGTAGTATACACTACCGAAAAACAAAGAATGTTTCCAGCATTGCGTCCCCGCTCTCAGTCAGTAATCCCACCACACCCTACTCAAATGCGATCTCAGCCAAATGCTCCATCTGACTCCAACAATACGTGTACACAAATATCATATGCAAACGCTGTTAGAGGATTCACTGTCCCAAGCAACGTCCAAAATGAAAACTCTACTAAACCATCTTCAAATATTGAAAACATGATCCAACTGTTTATGGAAAACATGACACAATTTATAAACACCATGCAAAATATGATGCAGGGAATGATTCAAAATCAAAATACCTTACTTTCAATCCTATCCAAACCATGAATGCAATCAAAATTTGCTTCTGGAATGCTAACGGCTTAAGCCAACATAAAAACGAACTTGTATTGTTTTTACAATCACATCAAATTGACGTCATGCTGATCTCAGAAACCCATTTTAACGAGAAAAGCTACTTTAAGATACCTGGTTACATACTCTACGATTCGAAACACCCCAGTGGACGAGCAAGAGGCGGATCTGCTATCCTCATAAAAAAACCACATTAAACACTTCCCAACTCAAACCCTTGAAGCAGAATATATGCAGGCGACAAGCATATGTCTAGAAGAATACATAAAAGGTCTGAATATAACCTCAATCTATTGTCCACCAAGGTATAAAATAACGGAACTTCAATTCGAAGAATATTTTACAAAGCTTGGACCCAAGTTCATAGCGGCCGGCGACTTCAATGCCAAACACACATTCTGGGGCTCAAGAATTATATTACCAAAAGGAAAATCCCTGATGAACGTGATATCAAAACTCGACCTTAACATATCCTCCACTGGCACACCAACATACTGGCCTTCAGATCGGAAAAAAACTCCAGACGTCATTGATTTTGCGGTAACAAAGAATTTAAAAAGAGATCAAATTGCTACCGAGGAATCCTTAGAACTCTCCTCTGATCACACGTCGACTTTTATTCTGATTAGATACACAACAATAGTCAATCCAAAATCTGAAGAAAAGCTCACAAACCAGCACACAAATTGGTTAAAATTTAAAAAATA